TTTTTAACGACACCAAATTGGGAACAATGCATTGTCTCATTCAGCCTGATATGTCAATAATGAAAAAAGTTTGTTATGGACTTTTAGCATGATTTGATACTGCAAGTGACTTTGATTAATTAGTGCAATTTTCTTATGTATGTCAAGGTATTCCAGTCTAGTCATATAAATCTAGAGATTATTTATAGCCTAGCATATTTTTATTTTAAGTTTGTTTATATAGGAACACGTTTAGATAGATACATTAAGAATTATCATTTCAATTTTAAGTTTAAAAAAACTTTAGTTGCTCGATACACCTAAAAATCATTGTATTAATTATACATAGAATATCAAACTTTTTATAGTGTTCTGCTCACCATTTTAAAATACACGGAACCATTTCAATTCTATAAAAGAATCATAGGTTTTTGTCCCATTAACTTCAGTTTATTTCCATGCAAACAAATCATTTGCTTCAAGTTATGGAATATTTTAGTAGCAACATTAGAAATAGATATAAAATGTCCTACAGGTTTTTTGTATATCTATAATTTGACTTAATAGTTACATACCTTTGACTTGTTTCCATCATTAATATATGTCAAAAATGTGCCAATTATGCCAAAAACTCGAGTAGATCACATTTTACGAAAAACACGGCGATTACACAATTTTATAGCATAATAAAAAAAAGAGAAATCAGTTCGGCGACAGCAAAGAGAAGGAAAGTTCTTGTTTATGCTATTAACCTCAAACTACAAATTAATTTAAAATTCATGTCGCGTCACAAATAGTCGCAGTGACTGATAGGAATGTGATCATCAGAGCTGATTAAAGCATAGTATAAAGCCAATGAGACGGACAACCATAGAGCATTTTTTCGAAAACTGTAGCAAAGAAAAACATGACAATTTAAGCTACTACCTCATTGGTTAAGTGGAATGACTGCTGAGCATAGTGTATCAGGTTTAATGTTTTGTCGATCAAAGCATCATTAAGTATTTAGAATTTGACAATAGACTCTCTTATAAAGACAAGATTATTATAAGACAAAATGGACGAAAAGTCAGTTACTCTTAATGTAAGCACATCCAAAATTATCCCTTCGAAGATAAAAATACTTATATATTTATATGTTAATTCATGCTAAAAATGTTAAACTTCTGCTTAATCATAATCAAATACCTGAAAGATACATTTTCAAAAGTTTGTTAATATAGATATATGTATCTGAGCCGCGGAGAACTTAACGGGTTACCGGGGCTCCGGCTTGAAGTGCAGGAGTAGGAACGGGGTGGTTTTTAGTCAGTAAGACTCTGACACTCCCTCCCGCCTCACCCAGGCGGGAGAAGTCATACGATGATATTTCTCCCTTAAAAAATAAAGATATATCTACATATATTTGTAAAATATATATAACATAATCTTATAAATACAATCGTAATCGTAACACCGGAAACAGAAAATTGCAATTACAATATTAATAGGAAAAAGCCTTCAAATATGGCCTTTGCTTTCATTGTAGGTAAACGAACCGATTACATATAAATATAGCAAGGTTAATTGCGAAACATACTTCTTATTTACTACCGGTTATATCAGTAAGATATTTACTTATCACCATCATCTCTTGCCGCGGGGATTAAGGGACTAGACATTAGATCGGACAGCATCTTCTTTGATTAAATCTGAAACTGTGATTTCTATCCCGTCTACCAGGATTTTATGCTAAATATTCTTATGAAGAGGAGACTCATAGTCCAACAGTGTACTGCTGAACTTTGAGACCCATTTAGAGTTTATCTATAACTAGCGACCCACCCCGGCTTCGCACGGGTGCAATATGCATGTATATACATATAAACCTTCCTTAAGAATCACTCTATCTATTTAAAAAAACCGCATCAAAATCCGTTGCGTAGTTTTAAAGATCTAATTATACATAGGGACAGACAGACGGCGGATAGCGACTTTGTTTTATACTATGTAGTGATACAGGCTATACCTTTAACAGACAAAAGTCTCCTTGTGTATTAAATAATTGGTATCCGTAGAGTATTTTGAGAAAATACATTAAAAATCTGACATCATCAAACATCAACTCAAATGTTTTTGTCATAATTGTGTTCAGTGTAAAATTAATACAAAGACCAACATTGATCACAAACATTGGCTGTTAGATTATAAGACCAATATATTACCTATACTTAATAAATACTTATTTATATATGTAGGTACTTAAAACACGTGATAAAAGTCGTTGCACTTTAACTTAGAAACAACTAGACATAATTATAACAATAACACACACGTTTTGTTAATTTAGCACAAAATTTGAAAATTTAGCATATATTTAATTGCAGACAAATTTGTTTCATAATTGCTTAAATTCAAATATGCTACACTGCTGTCTTTTTTGGCATAAATAACAAAAAATATTCTTTTACGCCCATGCTATTGAACTTTTATTAAGTAACTATATCGATGACATTGTAAATTTTTTGAATTGATCAAATTACGGATAATTTCTTTCTAAATACGGAATCAATTCGTTACCTAGTAAGTTGTAATAAGGGAAACTATATTAATATTAATTTCTACTTACTACTTTGTAGTTACATATCTTCATATACATATATGTCATGTCAACATCTAAAACATCGTTAACATGTATAACTATAAATCACATTGATAACTCAAGTTACGAAACATCACCATGTTACGCCATTTTTTATCTCAAAGATCCAAAAAATTCCTCACTTTGAAAGAAGCTATTTATTTATCCGGAAGTTTCATTATTACATTATTACTGATGAAACAATTATATTTAATAAAACCAATGATAAATAAGTCAGAGGTTATCTAGCTAATAAATAAATTCACAATTCATATGGATAACAAGTCTTAGCTTCATAAATTTTCTCAGTTACACCGCAAAACTCGAACGCAACGAACGTATGTATAATTTCAAACCGTTTTTTTAAACTTACACTCCGATTTTTTAAACTTAAGCTCCGATTTTTTTAGTTTAAAACAAAATGGCCGCTGTTAACGGAAAGGATTCAGACCCGGTTGTGCCGCCTTCCTCTTTGATTAGACGCGTCAGTTCGCGTTCAGTTAGAAATTCAATTTCGGAGGAAAAAGAAAATGGCGATGGCCCAGTTAAGGGTTCGTTTGTCAGTAAATATAAGAAGGCTCCTGAGGCCCTAAAGAGCTTCCACTTAACTGATGCTGAGAGCGAGCTGGAGGTCCCCGGAACACCAATGACTCCCAGAACTTCAACAACACCTGGTTTGTATATTTGATGACGTCACAATTTTAATTTTGTTTCGATCTACGTTTGTAGTTTTAGGTTTAAAATACGTTTTTTTATTGTAAAAAATTGCGTTATAAATGCTTTAATCCATATATGGAAGTGATAATGAAAAAATATCATGCGATTTTGATAACAAAAGTTCATTAGAAAGACTATATTGTCTTTCCTTTTGTCGGTCTTAACAAGTGAGTGTATTTCTTTACCAACTAATGAATATTGACGTAATATTGTTATTCTATTGTTCATTTATTGTCTTATACAATCATTGTATTGTCTTAATTATATCTGGTATTACATTCGTAACTGCAGTAATACTTACTACTTTATTTTATGCTACAATGTATCAGGGCAAATACTTTATACGTAATTTAAAATATATACACATATCATTATGTTTACTCAATAAGTAAGACTCATAATCAACTATTTCTATTTCTACACTTAAGATCTTAACAACATTCTACATTGCAGTTCTATCAATAGTATAATTTTCCTAAAAGAAACCATAATATATAGGTTACTGAAATAAGACTCTCGGCTTCCGAAATCGCTTAAAAATCTACGATTCGATTATAAACAAACAGTTCTGTAACATAATATAATATAATATGTCGATCAACCTTCAAAGTTTCAAGGTTCGAAATAAATTCATAACTATTTTAACAATACTACAGATTGTTCTGAACATTTGAAGCATTCACTAAACTGAAGTGTTTATTATTCTTGAACCCTAGTCTACACGTGTGAAGTTAATTATGGCGGTCTAATACTATATTGGAATCAACGATATATTTATTATAATTGTAATTTAGAACATGCTGTATTTTTAGTTTCGTCTAAGGCTTTCGACTTATTTAAGGGTTAATTTTGGTAATATTTGTACTTTATAATATGTGGGATACCTCAGGGTTACATATTAGGACTTATTTATTTTTTAAACAAAGGACCTCGTCTTCCTCTGCTTATTGAAAAAGCTGTCGAAGGAAATAAAAGTGAAGGGAATATAACATATTGTCTGTTAACGCAAATAATATGTCCTATTTAAAGACTTCTATTTTTTTCATTTAGACTTGCCTTTAATAAAAACAAAACATATAATGATGATGATACGAAGTTCGTACTAGGACAATATCCAAGGTAGACCTCATATTTTTTGCTAGTATTAAAAAAAAATATGTTTGTAATAAATCATGAACACGCAACTTTGCGGAAAGATTGCAACAGATGTTCATACCACAGTGCTAATCAACATTTATCTAGTACGATCAACAAAAAAATGTTTGAAATTTTTACTCACAATTGCGTAATGTTTGTTTAATGATATCCTTGTTTTGATTTTGGATTAGACACAATTTATAACTTAACGGACTGAATTAATTGGGAGTGATAAATAGTGGTAATATAGATAGACAAAGCGAGGAACAAGATATGAATCATACTGCAATAGTGTCTCAGCAGAACATCTTGAACAGTTCACAAACTACAAATAGCGTCATGTTTGAATTTAATAAATTAATCTTCTCTAAGTTTGTTTATCATTGTACTCTCCTAAACGTCTAGACTGAGATTGAACAAATCTTGGTGTAAAAATTGATACCGATATTGATCCGTCCGTTCATTAAAATAGGTTTCAAGTACAAACACACAAGTTTCCAAAGCATCATCCTATTCACATTTTTAAAGATATATTTTTTATTTCCAGGCCACGAGAACTGCACCTTCCACCATGACCTCGAGCTGGACCACAGACCACCCACCAGGGAGGCACTTCTCCCCGACATGGCCAACTCTTACAGACTTTTGCTCACAGGTAATTAATTGTTCAGTACTTTGTTGATCTCTAACCCACATGAATATAATGGAAAACCCGTCTTTAATAGAAGGGGCTCATAGTGCAGCATAAGGCACTCATAGGGTGTCGATGATGATGAAACGTCACTTACGAATCTTTAGAGTGCTACATTTTCAATACCATTGCCAGGGGTAGGTAGGGGTTCTTACCCCTGGCAAAGACTTACCTATTTCAATGTCTTCTAGTATACCTTACTGACTACAGCTAAGTGTAGTAATGAGCACCCTTTTTATTATCCCCTGATATAATGATGATGGTAATCAAATCACCCTAAATCATTTTATCGTCTGTTTGTTTTTGTACATTATACTAAAAAAATAAATAGCGTCTATAATTCTTTGTATAGAAATATATTTGCCGCCTGCTACATTAACGTAGGCAAATGGTCGTGATTTGAATACATCTATGTCTTTCACTTTAATATAATATTTCCACATTTCTGATCAAATCTTTCTATCATCAGGTCTTGGTGAGGACCCTGAGAGAGAGGGTCTGCTGAAGACACCTGAGCGTGCTGCTAAAGCTATGCTCTTCTTCACCAAGGGATACGACCAGAGCCTTGAAGGTAAGCTATTTAAAAACGAAGAAAGTACTTTTAATTAGTTCAACTATCTCCATACTTCTTAGGTTATTGAAAGTTTTTAAAATGAAGTTTGATGTTCTCAAGAAATTCTTAAGTCCTGGTAAGAATCCAGAAAAATGTTACTAAGAAATTGAGATTTCAGTGATAAAAATATATACTCTAATGATATGGTGATAATATAGCACGTCGTAAAAGTATATTAACTACTCAATATATGTCTATTGTCTGTGCATATTATAGCAAATTACTATACCTAGCTTCACTGACGAACAGACTGACAGACTATTATTTATTTTGTATTTGTTGACGTTTCAAAAGTATCAAATTATGGTTTAGTTGATATAAATGCTTTGATTTTGACTTTGAGTATTGAAAAATATGACCTTTTAGGGTACAAAAGCTAATGACCTTGTATTTTAATTTTCAGAGGTCCTAAACAATGCCATATTTGACGAGGATACTGATGAGATGGTGGTTGTGAAGGACATCGAGATGTTCTCCATGTGTGAGCATCATTTGGTGCCATTCTACGGAAAGGTGTCCATTGGATACCTGCCTCAGGGCAAGATCCTCGGTTTGAGCAAGCTGGCTAGGTAAGGCACCAATTACAATATATTATTTTGGCTTAAAATCCTAATCCCACTCCTAGAGAATACCTAGAGAATACTCTAATAATATTACATATGTGAAAGTTCGATGCGTTCGCCGAATGGTCGCAAGTGCGACTGCTTCCCAAGAGGTCTCGGGTTAAATTCTCTTTCCCGGGCAAAGAAATACTGGGTTTTAAAAAAATTATCGGTAGTAGTACGGAGTCTAGAATTGTGCCCGGTATATGGCAATAGCCTCACGCCCTATTACATGGGACTCATTGCATAAATAGTGAAAAGTGAGTGTACATTGTATAGTGGCATTAAGTGCCGTAATGTGAACTTTTGCCTACCCCTTCAGGGATAAAAAGCGTGATGTTATGTTGTGTTAAATTTAAAAATAAGACAAAAGAACGGCCGCCATTATTGGGCAGCGCTTTTTGGCAGTGCGTGATAAAAAGTGTCAACTTTCTCCTATTTTATAAAAAAACAACTGCCTGTCAATTGTAACCTTTGGATTCTCCACAGGATATTTTCTGTCTTGAAATTATTTTATGTGCGTTGTCAAGTATTGTAATAAGGCAACAAGGTAAATGATGTTATCACATAAGAACAGTATACATAATAAGCTTGTCTTTTACTTATATGAATACAAAATATTACAAAACGTCTGTTGAATAACTTTAATCTCATACTCCAATGGCCTAACTACAGTTTTCCTCTGTTGCCATATCATTATTTAGCTTACCAAAACTGTCAAGTCGACATATTATATTTCTCATTTCTTAGTCAATTAAATTTAATTCGTTATCAGAGCCAAAATCCTCATGAACGCCTAGTAGATTTTATACAGCAAATAGGAGTAATCAATGAAATAATTTGTCAATCAACTGATCAAGGCTAATACAAAATATACAAACATTATAATATCTATCCCTTTCCCTGTTATTCCAGATTATATGCCTATCTCTCTCTCTCTCTCTCTCTCTTCATTTTTAACAAGCTTTAATAATTTCTCTTCCTCATTTTCAGGATCGTGGAGATCTTCTCCCGTCGTCTCCAAGTCCAGGAGCGCCTGACCAAGCAGATCGCTGTAGCTGTGACTCAAGCTGTCCGCCCGGCTGGTGTAGCCGTTGTTATTGAAGGAGTGTAAGTACCAAATCCTCTTCATCATCATCTACAACTTCATCATCATCATCTACAGAAGGAATATGTTTATTGCTGAACAAAATCTTCTGAAGTTTGCCATAATCCCTACGCTCAGTATCTAATTTTGGAATAGCAAATAGGAATATAATGGAAAAATAGTGCCTTCTCTTTAAAAATACCTCCACAATACATACGAGTCAAAAGATCACTAGTTAGTTCGGATTCAAACTACTAGATGGCACGATGACAGTCGTAAGATCATGAACGTTCAATGTAGTTTATAATGAAATCAACAGATGGCGTTATTTGTTATTTAATTACTGTTATTAATTTACCTTGTAATTTTATCAGTATTGCTGACCCCCGTAGCCTATGACGTCTGTTTCTCTTATAATCACCTTTTTATTGTTACTTTAGATATCTAATTGTAACAAATAAGTTCTTAGTATTTACATAGTAATAACGAATAAGTGGGATTGAGTATTATTATTTTGGGATTTTTCATTAACAGCAATAAATTTTAATATTAATGTATGTATGGCAATAAGTTCACCCCCCGAAACAAATAATTTAATTACAGGGTGCTTACTCTTGAATCTAATTCCGATCGATCGACATTGACTTTGTAAAATTTCGTACTCTTGAGTTGTAACACTAGCGCCTTTTGCATCCGTATTGCGTGGATATTTCATGAACTGAATGGTATTGAATTTGGCTTTATATTCCGTACTCTGAATGCTACTTTAACAGCTACGATAAGGGTTGTATAGTTTTGACATTGGATAATTATTGAGTTTTTATTGGATTGCAATTGCATTGACATTGTGATTGGTTTCAAGAGTAAGCACCCAGGTCATGAGTGATTGGCATTTTTATAGAACGGATGTAGGTACCTCTATCTTATCCGTTGAAAAACCGTAGCCCTGAGTCTCGGCTATGAAAATTTAAAGTTCATCAAATAGCCTTATTACTACTTTCCCTACTAGACCAGGGAAGAAACCCCAACAAAGACCTCATACACAAACTCTAACATGCAAACAATTTTTGGGAAGACACAGAAAATACTCTTTTCATTATTAATGTTCTTTATTTTTCCTTATTTCTAGGCACATGTGCATGGTGATGCGAGGTGTGCAGAAGATCAACAGTAAGACTGTCACGTCCACGATGCTGGGAGTGTTCCGCGATGATCCGAAGACCAGGGAGGAGTTCCTTAACCTCGTGCACTCCAAGTGAGAAAGCGAGTCCATACTTCTCAAGTTGCCACGTCCATAATATTCTGACCCTCTTCATTTTTTTTCTTAAACGTTCATTTTTATGACACTTCTATGACCTTCCTATATGACATTTTTAGTTTTTTAATTTTACTTTCTCATTTTTTAATTTAAACTTTTGTAAAATAAAAAGTTGTTGCCAAAAAAATATTACGGACGTTCAACTCAACGCGTGGTTATTTAATAAGTTGTTAGTTAAGTTATTATCGCTTCTTATTTCACTATTTTAGTAATTTATAATTACGAAAAAACAATTTTATTTTGTTAATACAACACATGTTGCAGCTTATTTTTTGTTCCTTCTTACCATTATTTTAATTTCTTTTGCAATATAAAAATAATAATCGACAACAAAATAACAAGAACAGTATTTATCACAACAATAAATAGGTATTAATTTCTCAAAATAAACAAATAAAATACTGCCCTAGTTTGTTATAATAATATAATTTTATATTATTTTGCTATTTCATTTTTTAATTTTAATTTAAATAGCACAAAATATTTCAAATGAAATATAATAGGTACATGACAATAAAAATGACAAAAGATAATTTATTAATTTAAATTTAATTTTAGTGGGGAATGTGATAACTATATATATTGCCCAAACTTATCACATTTTCCAAATTAAAATTATATTTTCTTAAGAGAATTAGTACAAAAATATTAAATATATACTAATATACAAAGCTGAAGGGTTTGTTTGTTTGTTTGAATGCCTTTTTTTTCGAAACTACTGCTCTGATTTAAATAATTACAACATTTTATAGATACGTAAGTAACTCACACACTCTTTTAATTCTGATGTTTGGTACAGTGACCTTGGAAAAGTTGACATGAGTCAAAAAATCCTAGGTGGAAGTCATTATTCCACGTGGATGAAGTCGCGGGCAAAAGCTAGTTATTATATAAAATTGTTAAACTTTTATTGGACCAATTAGTTTAATTTTTGGACAAAAATCTCAAACATAAAATGGCTGATGTTTGACATTTTTGTGTAATTTTTTATGTTTATTTTTTTAGTAATATATTATGAAAAAATGCTAAGAGCCGATGATGTTGCCTTAATATAATACATAAATATTGTGAATGTTCGAATTTTTGATATGTTTTAACTATATCATAATTTTATAAATAAATGTTTTTTATTTTAAGTTAATTACGCTTTTTATTACCCACATACACCAATACCAATCGAAACATAACTATTATACCTTTACCCTCTAAAATATCACTGATATACCCAGCAGTTTATTTTTGTTAAAGTTTTATTCTTCAAAAACAATAAGACATACATTTATATTTCAAAAATAAAAACTAATAAACAAAACTAACGTCAAAATCATTTCACATACATTTTTAAAAATAATATCGGAAACAAATAAAGATACGATTTTTTCTCGTATTTTAATAATAAACACAATTGTTGACGAATAATTATACGAAAAATTTTACAATTACAATGTAATTCTTATATTTTTGTTATTATTTTAATCTTGTTCCCATTTTAAAATTTTTATTATTAAATTCACATTTATTATTGGTTTTTGACGTTGCTTTTTATGCTTGTTATATGCAAATATTATTTATTTATTACCTATATATATAGGTACTGATATTGTACTGGGTTCGACACCCAATCACAAAATTATCATTGATTTTATTAAGTTCTCAATAACACGTAAGTATTTACTAATTAAGTATTCCTTACAAAAAGACAACATTCTATATCATACATTTTACCACGTTAGTCACAAAGATCATAAGCGCCACTGCCAAGGAGGGGGTTCGATTCCCGAGTAAGGTAATGTGTTAGTAAGTATTTTCTAAAGCTAGTTTTAGTCACAATAGTACGAAGGCTGGAATCTTATAGTGAATGAGGTAAAATAGTTATTCTTTACAAAGAGGATGATTGACACTTAGGTGATCGATAGCAAATACTTATCTACTTCATGTCTTATGTACTTCAATGTCTGTAGTCTGTACGCATCTAACTCAAAAAACACTAAACACATTTTTATAAGATTTATATCATCGCGCTACGCACGCTTCTAATGAATAAATGTCCCGTTGTTTTAACTAGTTTAGCCTTTCTCAATGATTTCATGTGCAATTTTTTATTAGTTTAATAGGTCTCGTAAAAATATTACGAATAGCTTTTTTATGAGATGAGTAAGCCGGTAAACGATCAGACGGATCAACTTATGGTAAGCAATCGGCGCCGCCCATAGACACTTGAAACACCAGATGCGTTACAAGTGCGTTACCGGTTTTTTGAGAATTAGGAATATACGGATTGTTGAGGATTAGGGAATTGGGGATATTGGGGATGGGAATAATTGAGAATTCGGTAACTTCAGTCACACGACGAAACACAACGCAAGCGTTGCTTCACGTCGGTTTTCTGTGAAGCCGTGGTATCACTCCGGTCGAGCCGACCCATTCGTGCCGAAGCATGGCTCTCCCACACATAGGTATAGTAGTTAAAATATTATTAAAAACTCTGATTATTCTCATTACCATCGCGTTTTTATTGTCTTAGGGTGGCCAGAATGCCATGCACCGGAGCGTCTCCATCCATCCACTCCATTGGACTTGCCAATGATGGGAAGAATTCCAATTTGGAAATATTTATGACTAAATAAACCGATTTTCCATCACTATAGTTTCATTTCAATCATACAAACCACACGAATATAAAAAACGAAAAAGAACGACAACTGATAAGCTCAGTATTGTGAAATCTTAGTGTAAAATAATATAATTAAGTGTCAATAAAAATGGACACAAAAAAAATGTCACACTTTTAGTAGTAATTATTAAAATAACTAAAGTCAAAGCATTGATTTCAACAACTTTTGAAACGTCAACAAATAGAAATTTCTCTGTCAGTCTGTCCGTCAGTGAAGTTAGGCGCTCGTTCCAATGTGTAGTTTCAAATGGCGACGAACGAGCAAGAAACTCCATCGTTACTCTTTTAAACATATGTAAGTTTAAATTGTAGTTAAATAATATTGTGTTTTGTGTAGCAATTGTTATCTAAATAAATAAAAATCTCAGTCAACACACATCTTACTCAAACATCATCATCATCATCAACAGCCTATAAATGCCCACTGCTGAACAAAGCCTCTTCTCACGCAGAGAAGGTTTGAGCATTAATCACCACGCTTATTCCATGCGGGTTGGCGAATTCAAACTTATAATTAGAAATTATAAGCCCAGGTTTCCTCACGATGTTTTCCTTCACCGTTTGTCAGTGGTGTCTGAATAATCTTAGAAAGTAGGTACATATAACTCGGAAAAGTCACATTGAGAGGCGGGTATCTTAAACCTCCGGGGGACCACAACAATTCATTTTACGACTCGTACATGACTGTCAAGAAAGTTTGGGGTTCAACACTCGAGTCAAGAAATTTTTCTGTTTTTTGAGGTACGTTTTTTTTTTGAGGAGGGAAAATCATTGAATGACTTCTCCCGGCCGGGTGAGGCGAGAGGGAGTATCAGACTCTTACTGACTAAAAACCACCCCGTTCCTACTTCTACACTTCGAGCCGGAGCCCAGGCAATCCTTTAAGTCCTCCGCAGATCCGTATCGGCATCAACCCTATTGGGCTCCATCTGTATTTTTGAGGTACCTTTCTACTAAAATTAAGAAATGGAACTTCACAAACTGTCTCTTTTTGACAATTGAAAATTTAGCCAATAGTCTCCAGATATAATTTTACCAAACTGGCAGAATGGAACGATAATTAGTTAGTTTTATTTTTAAATTTTGGTAGATAAACGCTGTCCAATGGAGTGTAAATTTCATAAAAAACACACGTAAAATACACAATCATTATTTTGTAATAAATTCTTAGATTTACACCTCGTGTGTGTTATTGGCAATTTCTAGATAATCTATTAATACTAGGAAAACGTCAAAGTAAATAATAATAATAGATAATAAAATTATACGCATCATAGTGTGTTATAATTATTAAACATCTACTAAAAATAAGAATAACAAACTAGTATGGTAATGACAGGCCATCAGACCACCACGGATGGGGCCCAATAGGACTGATGCCGATACGGAGCCGCAGAGAACTTAACGTATTGCTAGGAATGGGGTGGTTTTTAGTCAGTAAGAGTCTGACACTCCCTCCCGCCTCACACAGGCGGGAGAGAATGTCTGAGAGAGACTATGATTGAATGATTTTCCACTCTCAAAAAAAAAGTACCAAACATCAGCAAAAAAGTGGTAATGGCAGAGTAGAATATATTTATATTTATTTATATATAAGATGTAGTTTATGTTTGGTATATGGGGCTTCTTAGTCAAATCGGACAAGAATAATGGATACTACCACCTCTTAAAGAATTTAGGTCGACTTAACCTGTAACCCTGTATATATACTTATACATCACTGCTGAGCAAAGCCTCTTCTCACACGGAGAAGGTTTGAGCATTAATCACCACACTTGCTCAATGCGGGTTAGCGATTACAGACTTATAATTAGAACTCACTTAAACCTCCGGGCCACCACGACACTCTTAAACCTCCGGGTCAACACGACACAAATTTCCAGTAGGTACCTCAAATAATTTACTATGTCAATAAAATGAAACAAAATTTAAAGGAGACCTCATTACCATCCCTGAGTACAGACTATGCACTATTATTGAGAATTCTTAAAAAAAAACAAAACAATAAGAAAAGTCTAGACCCCAATCAATTTCCTAGAACATAACAGTTACAATTTTACCAAAACTAAGGTCATGATAACATTATGGATACATAAACAACGATAAACTTCTAATTAACTGACAGTTATCTTATTTATATGAAAATGTATTTAGTTCTGTTGGTAGCCTGTCAGTCGGTAGTCAGTTTTTAACTGTCGATCAGTGCACACGTATACCGGTAAGCTATATATATTTATTTCTTTTTTACAAAAAGTAGGAGGTTCTCA